GGTGTCATCAACTCGAGACGAGCTAGTAAAATAATCTACTTAAGTGCGGAAAAAGATCAGACATCACATTAACTTTTGTGCAAACCTAGAAGGAAACGTAGGTGATGTGATTGGCTAGTAGAGTTACCTCATAAAGTCATAAGAGGTACAAAGGATCGAAACATCTTGTACATATAACCATACTAATAGAGTAGATGAGTCAAAATGCCAAAATGGTAAGTAAAAGGCGAGCATCGGGAAACACAAGCTTAATGTAGGGCATGTAGGTAACTTGACTATCTGACCTAATTGTAAACACAAGCTTAGTGCAGGGTAACCGGTTACCTGCCACAGTTATCTACCAGGAGGTATGGGGATTGCATGCGCACTGTGCAATTAAAAATTAACGGCGTCGCCTGTGTTCAGATTTATTGCGAGTTTCCGGTCGACTAGAAGTTAGCTTTCTCGTATCAGAAAATATCAGATTACGTTTCAACATACATTTTTCACTGGGTCAAAACGTAAGTTATCAGGTCTACTATGTGTAAACTACTATGATATTTGCACATAATTTATTGGGATATGCTTGAACAAAAAATATTAGCCGGTAAAAAATTACCACGTGTTTCTAGGCATAAGTTATCTAGACTTTTAGCGCGTCTTCTAACTAGAAAAAAGGAAAGAAAATGTTCAGACAAGGGGAAAGATATTTGGTTCTCAAAAAAAAAAAAAAAATTTGTCACGTTACATGCAGTGTGGTAAAAAAACTACCTAACTAATCATATAAAAAAGATTTGGACCCTGTTGGCAACAACTAATTGTGTGTGAAATGGCTAGCTCGATGCACTATATTGCAAGAGGTCATGGCTTCGATCCCTCATCCCCACGCAATTCTTTTTCTCGGCCCAGAAAATTGGATCACCTGCCTAAAAAAGGCGAGCACCGGGATTACGCTGTCGAGCGTGTGAATTGCGAGATGGCAGTTTGATCGGGGCGTTCTAGGAAGGTTTGCCTAAAAAGTCACGAAAACAGATCGAGACCTTGGCGTGCGCATCGGACGGTGATGAGATCGTTCGGATCTGTTGCGAAATTCCGGCCGACTGTAATTTAGCTTTATT